CAAACAGCACGAGCCTTCTCCCCCCCAAATCTCCCTGTCAATGGGGTGAACAGTGGGGACGCCTCTTACAAGAACCCGATTTGCGCAGAACAGTCATCACACTGACCAGACAAAGATGGGTCTGAAGGCGGTGCCTTCAGACCCATCTTTCGCGAGTCGCTTGAAAATGGAAGTGACTCGCTAAAGTGATGTACTGTCTCGTTTTCTGTTTTAAGGCATCTGATAGGTTTGGAGAGGACACTTTAATTTGACCGTTTTTCTTGACATTGGGAAACCTAAGGAGGGCGGCCTGTATTAACTGTATTAATGATTGTGGGGAATAATCTCCAGTTCCTAAGCCCTGTTAGCTAACAGTTCTCTGGTGCAAAGATTTCCAATTTCTTTATACTTGGTCTTACCTACATTTAAAGCAGCAAGTGTAATGAACCCTTTACTTGCATGTACTGTATACAGTATGGTGTTATGTATGGCACATCTCCAACCTCCCTCCTCAATTGTCACTCAACTATATCACCTTATTTCTGGGGGGAGCCCTGTCGGCTTCCCGGAGCTATCCAGGCTGAATGGATATGCATAACTTTCTGGCATCAGTCAATGTGCACAGAGTTCTTACCTACTGGGGACCACAAGCCAGAACCTGGCCCTCTCAAGAGAGGTACGAGGAGCAATGGGCCATTGAAACCGTGTCGTTAAGAGAAATCTATGTCTGCCATCGACCGGATCTGGCACCCAGAAAGGCAGAAAGGTAGACGCCCTAAAACAAACCCCTATTCTGGTGAAACTATTGCTACCAAAAGCCAAACGAATGGACAGAACTCCCCAAACAAAAATTAGCAAATGAGCATGATGTCGGCATGTCGCTGCGCCACTGTCTGCGCAACCCTTCACCCCCCCCCTCCTTCCCGGGAGGGGGAAGGGGGATTGTCTTGAGATTATCTTGAGATGATTTCGGGGCTTTAGTGTCCCCGCGGCCTGGTCCTCGACCAGGCCTCCACCCCCAGGAAGCAGCCCGTGACAGCTGACTAACTCCCAGGTACCTATTTTACCACTAGGTAACAGGGGCATAGGGTGAAAGAAACTCTGCCCATTGTTTCTCGCCGGTGCCTGGGATCGAACCTAGGACCACAAGATCAAAAGTCCAGCGTGCTGTCCGCTCGGCTGACCGGCTCTCACCGGTCCCCAGACCTCCACGCCGGCAATCCATCTTTCAGTTCTCAGGCTGATGTGCTGCTTGTGTGGTCTTGTGCCTCTGGCTCCAGCAATTTGTCTCTGATTCTATGCTTTGTGGCGTGGACTGTCTCTACTGGTGGTGTGCGAGCCAAGAGTAATATTCTTCGGTACTTGGGCTGCATGCACCTAGGGGCTAATCTTCCCTAGGTGCCCCGTAAGTACTTTCCTTGGGGCTTGGGGCCACCTTCTACAAGTCACCTCGGGATCTACCCCCGCTGTGTCTTTTACCGCTTGGTACTTGCCCACCCTTGGAGTCAAAACTGGGGGCTTTGTTGCCTGTGTTTGCCTCTGGGTTGGGAGTAGTTTTTGTCACTGGTAGGGGCATAGGGTACTGTACAGTTAGTTCTCACCTCTTAAAGCGGCCAGCTGGTTGGTGGTACCCATTGCTAGGCCCCCGGGAGTGGACATGTCCCAGGGGTTCAGCTATCAGCAGATTGTTTGGTAGTCTTGGGCGCAAGATCGCAGTACACTGCTTGAGCTTCCCTTAGCGTGTTAATAAGGCTAAGGGCCCTGGGAAACCCGCGGGGTCTCCGTGGTTCAATGGATGTGACCCTTGACAATCACTCAACCGATGATTGTCTCTGAGGGACAATCACCGGTTGTTCCTCCGCCATGCTGCCTGTTGGGTTGGTGATTCTTTTGACCCTGAGTCATGCAACGTTTGTTGCCTGTACGTGCTCCAGTTCACCCAAGCTACTGATCAGAATATGAGGGTGCAGGCGGCAGCTGCGTTGCATGCAAGGTTTAGGTTGCTGCAACACGCTAAGTTAGTTGCTTCCCCAGATGCCTCGAGACTGCCCTGTTTTGGTTTTGGGGACCCGGGCTTTGGGATAGGAGTCGCTTCGGCTCTAGTTCCGTCCTCCCCCTCCTTGTCCTTCCCCTTCTGTTGTGCATCAGATTCTTCCCTCCCCCCCCCCCCCTTGCTTCTGACTCCGAAGCAACTGAGGGTTTTGGAGTCAGGGCAGGGTTTAGTTGGTGTTGAGACTCGAGCAGTCTCGGGGGAGTCCCCTTCCAGGATGGTGGCGGAGGCATTCGAGCCTGGTCCTTCTCTCAGAGCTTCTGGGTTTGACCAGTGGGCCCTTCATTCCTGTTTTTTCGGCTGCTCTTGCCTTTTCTTTAGAGGTGTGGGGGTGGGGGGGGGGAAGGACGGCTCAGCCCCAGATCCTCTGGGTGAGGTTCCTGTGGCAAGGGAGGGGTTAACTTAGAGGCCCTGCGTCCCATTGGACCCCGCTTGGGTTTTTGTACCCTCGGAGCGGGGCTTGGTGTTACAGGGTGTGGGGTTTTCTTTTGCTCCCTCCGTGTACGAATTGGATTTGGCATCTATCCCTCCCCGGGTTCAGTTCCATGGCCCCGACTGTTCTTCGGTTCTGTCTTTCCGGAGAGTGGGTGCAGGAAGTCACAGTAACAGTGGGTACGAGAAGCCATTGCGGCTTACCTCCTGTGCGACCCGGATTTTGCTTTTGTGATGTATCGGCTCCCCGGAGCTAACTACCCAAAGACAAGGAAAAACAGGGACTTACCTGGGCGGCGGTCAGTCCTCACTCCTCAACACGAAGCCAAGACAAATGGCTGCAACCACCAACCCAATGCAATGCAGACCCTACGAGGACCAAGGACATTGACAAAATAGCGAGCGGCCAGGACCCTGTTCAACCTCCAAAAACCTTGTGCCCGAATGTCAACCAAGACATGTTGCCTGCTCATTAACCACCGTGCTGTGCGGAGTTTATTGAGAAATTCCCCCGGTGCGCATGAAGTAAAATGTTCCCCAAAAATTCTTTTTTCTTCGTAAAATGATAAATTCCCTTCCCTGAACATGTCTATGTAAAAATAAGTACCAAATTCCACTTACTTTGGCTGTGGGGACGTGGACAAGATGCACTGTGACATCATCAGGGCCTGGTCGCCCGTGCGTGACTCGCCCAGACACGGTCACGCGGGCCATTCAAGCACCGGGTGTTGCCACAAATATATTTTCAATTATTTGTTTTATGTATTTCCAATGCGGTATTATTTGTTTTTTTTATCGTATATGATGCATATTTGTGTCCTTTACAATATGTATACAGTAAAACGTTCATAATATTCCATGGAACTGTGATACATGTGTCAGTAATGTGTCCACAATAAATGTTTATTGTCGCAATATTACCTGTTAAAAAATCACTAAAATTACAATATGTACAGTTTCACACACTATTTACACAGTAACACACTGTATTACACACTCAGTACTTCGGAAGTGAGTAATAATCAACGAAGTAGCCCATGGTACACAGCGCGACTTTGCTCTCAGTGCACCAGGTACAGATAAATTTTTGCTTCCTGTTTCTTCATTCTGTGTGCTTGCAAATAACGCACTCACGTACACCCTTGGCTTTAGAACTTGTAGGTTGTATGTAGCCAAGCTTGTAAAGCATAAGGTAGTATTGAAAAGATTATAGGAAAAGATCAATTTGTAAGGTAGTCTTGAAAAGATCACTTTGTATGGTCCCACACAGGAAGAGATTCAGCTTCCCTCAAGAGTGTCCGTCAGTCAGGAAGAGATTCAGCTAGCCTCAAGAGTGTCCGTCAGTTGGGAAGAGATTCAGGTATTCTTGAAAATATCTATGGAAAACACCACCATGGAAGCCGCTAACACTGTTCATCTATGCTATTTGTATCGGATGCATCATCACTGAATGCAGAAAACAATTCATCTAAGTATCATCTAAATAAATAGCATAGGATTGCAAGGATGACCAGAAAACGATTCATCTAAGTATCATCTAAATAAATAGCATAGGATTGCAAGGGTGATGCTCAGAGCTACAACTGGATACGCTTGCTATATCGTCCTCACAGGTGCTGTATCACTTGCATCCGACCTTTGTGTTAGGTCCTTATTGCGCCTGGCTTCCCCAATATTATGATATGACCCTTATGTTCTTCAAACAATAAGGTTTGAATTTCACCAACAGAGCGTTATCTTTCAACACCGCATCGGACAAGTGTTTGGGAGCCAGAGGCGCGTGCACCACCCATGGTTGCTCATTCAGTACTAACCCAGCCAGCCCAGCCCTAGGGCATTCTGGGATTTTTTTCCAAGATGGCTGCCTCTTACTGGAGGTCCTAAGAGTCTATTTCGTACACAACCAACCTCGTACACATTTAGAATTGGTTACGACATGTTACTACGTGCAAAGTTACAAAGTTACAAAGCAAATTACGACGTGCAAAGACATGCTACTAATTGGCTCCCAGAACTGAAGGGCAAGAGCTACGAGGAGAGGTTAGAGGCATTAAATATGCCAAAACTAGAAGACAGAAGAAAAAGAGGTGATATGATCACTACATACAAAATAGTAACAGGAATTGATAAAATCGATAGGGAAGATTTCCTGAGACCTGGAACTTCAAGAACAAGAGGTCATAGATATAAACTAGCTAAACACAGATGCCGAAGAAATATAAGAAAATTCACTTTCGCAAACAGAGTGGTAGACTGTTGGAACAAGTTAGGGGAGGTGGTGGTGGAGGCCAAGACCGTCAGTAGTTTTAAAGTGTTATATGACAAAGAGTGCTGGGAAGACGGGACACCACGAGCGTAGCTCTCATCCTGTAACTACACTTAGGTAATTACGAAAAATCAAAACGAGTTTTCTCGGGTGGCGCAGTTTCCCGCCGACTGAGAAAACTTGGTTGGCGCAGTTAAGTGGTTAAACAAGGTCGCTTGATCACCGTCTCATTAGTGGCCTTTTAATAGTTTATGTAGTCCTGCTTCAACTTACCTGATCTGTTCCCATGCTAAGTAGACTGGAATTCTCTTGGCTAATAACTGTGTTTGCAGTCATCACCTTAAACTTTTGTAGCCTGTAAAGAATACAAACAAAAATTATTTTCCACTTAAAAGCAGGTGCATAATTAAGAAGAAAGGTCATGGGATAAATGATTGTATGCAGCAGATATCAGGTGGCACAAGCGATCTTTTATGCACAAATTCAATAAAAACTAAACAAGATTCAGTCAAGATGTAACCTAAACTTACATGAATACCACAGGAATGGACAATTTTATAATTCTAGGGAAATGTCTAAATATTTTTAAATTTTTAACAATGGCAATTCTCCAATTGGCCTATGATGATTGGGCGGATCACCCAAATCACAATGAGATGATTTCATGGGCATTTCGTTATACATCTCTTGCTAATATGGCTATGGCAATTATCCTTCATGTTGAAACATTTCCCGAGGTCCTTTCTGGTTCCTCCCTGGGTCTTAGTAAACAGATGCACACTATAAACTTGCACATCACCTTTCTGCCAGTGACCATGCAACATTGCAAGAAATTTGAAGGACGTGTTAGATCTTAGTGACGAAAGGGAATACATTCCAAGAAGTTAACTTGAAAAATAATCTATTAACAGATGCAATAAGCTGCTTTATCATCAAGGAAAGTGAGACCGAGAGGTGAGCTGGAATGGGCAGCGACTGATATAATGGCACACTTATGACGCAAGTTGCTAATTGCAGCATATTTTAAGACAACAATATCTGATTCTGCTGAAATGTGATGATAGTTATTTGATTACAGTGGTGGGGCTAATCATGGTAGTGGAGAGCACATGTTGGTGTTAATGGTGCAGGCACTAGCTGTATGTCAATGGTAGTTGGGGGAGGGGTACGGAAAGAGCTCTCTTCATGTTGTCAAGTGAAGCAAATTTCCTCCCACAAAACCAATGATATTGTAATTGGTGCTAATCATAACACTAATGATGATCATATGCTAGTGGTGTCAGTGTTGGTGGTCATTGTACAAGCTACAATGATTATGGAGAGAAATGTGTATGTTGTCTAGTAGAGCATATTTGGTGTTGCATATTACTAAATATGATTAAAAACCTTACAGTTAGCTTATAAATAATGGATTCCTGAATATTATCCATCAGAAAATGAAACGCTTCAATAGCCTCAAGGAAAATCAGAGTTAGGGAGTGTAGGGGGTGTGTGTGGTGAGTTGATATGAAGCCATGCTACTGACACTACTTGTAATTCTTGGAATTGGAAATAGGAGCAAATTTAGTGTTACTAGATCTAATTGTGTAATACTTCATCATCTTGTTGTATGGGTGTATTCATTTACAATAGTGATGAATGTGATGATGTTTTGTAGCATCAGCTGTGTCAGTTGTTGAGAAGAGACTTTTGTCATTAAGATGAGAAAATTTGCAGTCTCATACAACTAAATCTGATGAAAATATTGTCTGATTATTGTGGTGTTAGCGATGATGTGGGAGGTGGGAGTGCAGGTACAAGAAATTTGTTTCTGCCTGGTTGATGTCACTATGCTGAGTGTGTAAAAAATGTACATGGGGAAAAATAGACTGACAACACAAATCCCAAAATTTAGTGGTGACATTGTTATTCAGTTGTTGATGAAATATGGTGAACCAATACTGCATCTGCCTGCCAGACTCTGCAAGTACCATGCATTAGGAACCACCTGCCTGGCAAACAAGATACCTTCCCCATGTTGAAAATTGACACGTGGAGTGCATTGCATGCAAGACAACAGAGCAGTCGGGTTCAACTATGCATACAGACAATAAGGCATTAGGAGTGTTCAGGATTATCCAGTCAGCGGGAGGGCTGGGTTGATTTCTAGTCCTGAGCATTACGGGAGGTTCATTTTTAGCTGAGATTCATATAGCAGGAGGCATTTGTTTTTGCACTGTGGATATGGCATTGGACTGTGAACATTTTGTGGGCGTGTTAGCTGATTTGTCTGCTACTATACTTGGCTATTGTTCTTGATGTCTGAGTTAGTACTGTTATAATCCTGTGTTTTGAGAAGTGTGTGTTTTTTCTGAACTTAGTGGGAGTAGTAGTGGTGAACCTTCACTACATTTAAAACTGGCCTCTGCTCCATACAGTTTGGCAGTGTATCTGGCACTGCCATTCTAGCCCATGTATTTCCAATAGAAGATAGGCTTGTGGTGAGATTTCCAGTCCTGTATTTAGTAGAACATATTTTTCTTTTGAAGCATATACATAGATTGACTGAACAGATCATTTAATAACACCAATAAAAACATAACACTCATAGTAACATACGTGATTCATTGTGACTTAGCACTACATAATTCAGAACAGTGAGACTTTGCTTATTGTATACCAACCCCATAATTTTCTCTTCCAGGGTTCCTCTTGTGATCAGTCTGTACACGTTGACCACACGCTTCTGACCAATGCGGTGAGCCCGGTCCATAGCTTGCAGGTCTCTCATTGGATTCCAGTCATGCTCCACAAAGATTACCTGTGGACAGGGAGGAACATTCTTGAAGAAGAATGAGAAGTGTGTGACAAATAACAAAGAAGTGTGTGAAGAACTCAACAAGAGGCTCTAGGAAGTCTACAACCTGGAACCAAACTGGTGTCCAAGGAGAGGTGACAACAGATGACCGGAAACATAAGCAGACAGAATTAAATTAAAAAGTAAAAAAAAAAAAAAAAAAAAAAATCACCTAGAGGAAACTGTAGCAAAAGGAGTAGGACCAGGCCAGATATTACCTTGGTTACTGAAGGAAGCTGCACGATTCTCTTGTCACCCATAAACTATAATGTTCAATATTACACTAAGAGATGGGAAAGCTACTTGGATATCTGGAAAAAGGCGAATGTAGTGACAATGTTAAAGAAAGGGGACAGACATGAAGCACTAAACAATAAACCAATGTTATCATTCATTCCATGCAAAATGATGAAAAAGGTAATCAGGAAAAGAATTCTAGAACATTTGGGAAGAATAAATTTTATAACAGGGTTTATAACAGGGTTTATAACAAATTTTATAACAGGGTTGTTTTAACAACACAGCTTGAAAGGAAAAATACTTGAACTAGACTGAATAATATGATGGAGGGTGAGAAGAAGATTGAGTGGACTCCATATTCCTAGACTGCCAAAAAGCTTTTGATACAGTTCCTCATAAAAGATTTCATAAGTAGGGATAACAGGAAAGGCACTGGATTGGGTCAGGGATTACCTCATGGATGGGAAACACAGAGTCATAATCAGAGAGGATACGTCAGGCTCGAGAGCAGTGGAATGTGGTGTTCCACAGGACTCAATGTTACAACTTTTGGTCTTTCTAATTAATGTAAATGACCTTGCAGAGTAAGTGAGCTTGTACATGTTGATGTTTGGAGATGCATAGTTAACACTTTCGCGCTCTCCGCAAAGGTCACTCAGCCAACCGAATGTGCGCGCTGCGTTTTTATCGCTTAAGCGTAAAAACAAAAATGTGTATACTCTTTTTACTCTTCTGACCTTAGTTCTCATGCTACGTATTTCATTTTGGTACCAACGTGTTCGCAATAAAATTCTCTAGAAGAACATCAGTAAAAAAAGTCACGAAACGTATAGTAAACGTATAGTATAAACCAGCACCAAATAAATAACTACGAAGATGACTCGCCGTGAGCGCCCATCAGCAACAAAATGTTTTTACTCTTGGGATTGTAATCACCTCCACACTTATTCTACAGCGTTAATTTTGGTATCAATGGACTCGCAATGAAATTCCCAACACGGTGATATGAATATAAGCGTAGAATAATGATGCGGCCCGCCCGCAAGAGTGTGGGAAGTGGTGAAATTGTTACCCGGTATCGGTGACGGGACGACGCACGGCGCTTTGAAAGTTTATACTTATTTCACTCTCATGACATTAATTTTCTATGTACGTCATTCATTTTTGTGTCAATGTGTTCGCAATAGAATGTTCTATGTGCCCATAGGTAAAAAATATCAACAAAGCGTAAGTTAGAATAGCGCCAAATATAAAACAACGCTGGAACATATCAGTGAGCGTCAAACACACACGAAATGTTTTTACTTTTGTTATGTTTGTCAAGTTTATACATGTTGCACACAGTTATTTTTGGTTGTATATTGATCGGAATAAAATTCCCTAAACAGACATATGCATATAATACATGATATGGGGGAAGCATTACCAGTATAAACGGCTAAAGTCACCCACCTGCAACCCGTTTGGGACAAAATACCATTTGATCGAAGTTATCCACACCTTTCATGAACTTATTGTACCATGCAGCCTAGTGGTGAGAAAGAGAGCCTCAAAGCGCGCAGTTTGAAACAAACCCAAAGTAAATCGGATAAAAATTGAATTTTATACAAATATTTTAAAAGAGGACTCAACTTTATGTCCACTATGCGTTAGCGTTAGACGAAACGGGACGCGCCGGCGCGTCCAGATAGCGCGAAAGTGTTAATATGGAGAGTAAGAAGTGAAGTGGACTGAAGGGTGCTGCAAGAAGACTGACAAACTTCAGGAGTGGCCAGAAAAATAGCTGCTGGAATTCAATCCAAGTAAGTATAAAGTAATGAAAATGGGTAACAGAGACAGGAGATGTGTATTTAAATATACCATAAGGGGAAGGCAATTACAAAAAATATCAAGATAAAAAGACCTGTGCGTAGACAACACTAACACCAGAAGCTCATGTAAACAAGGATAATATCAACAGCATATGGGAAATCAGCAAACATAAGAACATCATTTAAGAATCTAAACAAGGAGAGTTTCAAATCAATACACACTGTCTAGTTGAGTCCATTAACTGAGTATGCAGCACCAGCATGGAACCCACACCTTGTGAAGCATAAACAGAAACTTGAAGTTTCAGAGGTTTGTAAGTACATTAATATTGGAATTGAGAAGCCCCAACTATGAGGACAGGTTGAGAGAACTCACCCTCACAACTTTTGAAAAGTAAAGAAACACAGATCCGAGGATCTGTGGATCTTCGGATCTAGAATATGATTCCGCTGAGGAATCATATTCAAGATCCTGAGAGGAATAAAGTAGATAAGGGAAGCCTCTTTAAATTAAATAGAGATAGGGCAAGGAACATAAATGGAACTGGATATACAAGCGAGTCTTAGAGTTTTAAGGAGGTTCTCATTACCTGTATGTGTGACTGACAAGTGGAAAGCATTAAAGAGATTGTTGAAGCCAATTTCATCCATAAATGCTGTTGACAAAATGTTAATGTCGAGAGGGATACTTAGGACACCAGGTATAAATGGCTAGGAGGTGGGGTATAAAGAGCTAGCTCTCACACCCCCTATAGTCACTGATAGGTAAGCACAGGTACTATAAATTCCTACACATTAACATTTTCGCCCACTGACGAAGTATGGTGTCGTCAATTTACTAGCTAAATGTCCACTAATGACGAAGTATGGCGTCAAAAAGTAAAATATTTGCTAAAAATCATGTTTTTATCTTATTTTTTGGGGGGACCGATTTTAAACTGCGCATCGATGACTTCCTGTTTTCCTTGATATGCCATGCAGCCTCCAGGCTGCGCCACCCACACCGTAGGCCCATTGTTTTGGCACTACTCGTCCGACCAGTCAGCTCTCCCCTCACCTCTCAAACATGTGAACATTTCGCTTATTTTCCGTGGTTATATTTCTTAGTGCGGCTTTAGATACTATCTGCGTTTACTCCAAGATGGATAGTAATGAAGGAAAGAGCCATTGCAGGAAGAAATCAGTGAAAGAAACACGGGAGAAAGAGAAGCTAAGTAGTGTACAACAAAAGTACAGTAGGGTCAGACTAACACCCTCCAAATTTCAAGCTGTTATTGATGAATTATCTGATTTATCTGATGATGAAAGTGTTGGTGATAGTGACAGTGATGTAGTGATTGATTTTCTTGACACTGAAACAGCAGATGATGATTTTGATAATGATACAAGTGATGACTGTAATGTTCAGATGGCCACACGTGCACGGCGAGGTACTGGTACTCATACCGCGTCTAACTCACATACCCCATCAGGTTCTGATGAAGGCTGGTCTACTGACAATACTCCACCCTTTGTAGACAATTTTACAGGAACACAAGGCTTGACTGTTCCTGTACCTACCAGTTCTTTGGGTTTTATTCAATTATTTATTACTCAAAGTTTGCTGCAATATATGGCCTTTGAGACCAATTTGTATGCTAGCCAAAGCAATGTACGAAATGTGAGCGCAACAACCAAGAAATGGGAACCAGTGACAGTGAAAGACATTGCCCGATATTTGGGACTGACGATATTAATGGGCATTTGACCCTTGCCAAGAATTGGAATGTACTGGCAAACAGGTAGATTGTGGCATATACCTAGTTTCAATACATTTATGACATGTAGAAGATATGAACTGATTGGAAAGAATTTCCATATTTATAACAATAAAGCCATTCAACAAGACAATTCAGACAGACTAATCAAAATTCGAACAGTAATGCAATATCTCGCACAGAAATTCAAATCAATATACATTCCTCAGAAAAATTTGAGTTTGGATGAAAGCACAATGGCATGGCATGGCCGTCTAGCTTTCAAAACCTATAATCCCAATAAACCTGATAAATATGGAATAAAGCTCTACATGTTAGCTGAATCAAATTCAGCTAACAGCTCAAATTCAGCTTGGTTACATCTTTGATTTTTAAATGTATGCAGGTATTGGAAAGATGACGATTGAAACGGTAATGGCCTTGATTGAACCAATGAAGAACAAAGGTTACCATTTATATATGGATAACTATTATAATTCGGTTCGAATGAGTGAATTGCCGCTTGAAGATGGGGTATAAACCTGTGGTACTATCAGATTGCTGCGTGGTGCACCTAAAACCCTTCAGATCCAAGCAAGGGGTAAAATGCCACTAGATAAAACTTTATTCAAAAGGAAGGACAATACTTTCATAATTTTGTGGAAAGACAAACGAGTGGTTTCACTCATCACAACTTGCCACAATGCAGATACGCAATGAATGCAATGAAGGAAAAGAGTGAGGAATCCCGATGGAACATCTTCAGTGCAACAGTTCACTGTCAACAAGCCAAACGCAATCTGTGACTACAACACAAACATGAAAGGTGTTGATTACTTTGACCAAATGGTCAAATATTATCATTTCACAAGGAAAACTCACAAATGGACAAAGAAAATGACGTTCTAATTTTTGCAAATGGCTATTCACAATGCTTATGTGTTGTACAAATACTACACAACAGATAGAAAAACTAACATTACTCCATTTCCATGAAGCAGCCATCACGTCAGTACTGTTATTTCAGCCTAGTAAATGGCCTCTGCAAAATGGGGATATCCCACATACTGGAGCTACTGAAGCCAATGTTGCAACACCCGGACCATCAACACCCGGACCATCAACACCAGGACCATCAGGTGTGAGGCGGGGACTATTCACTTCACCTGTAGCTGTACCTTCCTCGTCAGAGTCGGAAGACGAGAGTGTGATTGTCCCTAGTGATGCTTCTAATAGCAAAAGACCCCGTATTTTGGATAATCCAGAATGTTTGAACAGACATTTGTCCCATACCCAAGTAAAGATGCAGAAGCATCTGAGGTGTCGTGTTTGTAAACTGTCTGGTATGAGGAGGGACACAAGGTGTAAATGCAAGACGTGTGATGTGGCACCGTGTCCTACAGCAGATACTGTTACAAGAAACAATTCTAGGCTGATAAGCGGTAATGCTTGCCCACCATCCACTTCACCTACATGGGAAACATGGGATAACCCTTCAGGAAATGTTTCCTGGAACAGGTGGAGTGGATAAAACTAATGTTCAACCCACGTCATGCTCCACAAACAACACTGGATTGGCAAGTCCAAAAAGTTTTAGTTTTTTATATATTTTATATTGTTGTTTTTACTTTATCGTATTGTATTGGCAATAGTGTTCTTCAATTTGCCATTATATCCATATATATCCATCTAAAGCATTCTATTAGGAACAATATCATACCAAAATGAGCCCTGTAACATGAAAATTTATGTTAGCAACCGGAAAAAATACTAAAAATTTGTGGGTGGGAATTGGGAGTGTGGTGGGTGGGTGACTGGGCGTTCCCTCGCGGGTAACGCGTGGCCCGCCTTCAACTTGTCTGTGGGTGGAGCGTCACCCAGTTTTTTTATTTTATATGTATATACTCCTCTTAGAGAATTCTATTGTGAAGCCACTGATACCAAAATGAAAGACCTAGGATGAAAATTGAGGTGACCAAAGTGAAAAGAGTGTACACATTTTATCGCTCTTGGGGGCTCCTGGGTAACTCGCTCTAACTTTCTCTGTTTGCTGCGGGTGGTAAGCTGGGCTTTTGGAGTTTATATGCATTTACTCCTCTAGAGAATTCTGTTGCGAACACACACTGATACCAAATTGAAAAACCTAGAACGAGAATTAAGGTGACAAAGTTGAAAAGAGTATACACATTTCGGTATTACCTCACCCTCCCGTGGAACGTCCAAAACCACTAGGGATAGTGGAGCGCTCTACAGCCCAGAGCACGAAAGTATTAAACTAACAATGAGAAAAGAAAACTACAAGTTATCTTTCATTACAAAAACTCATCTTCTATCAACCTTGAATCAACCTTGCCTCTTCTATCAACCTTGAATCAAAAATATTCTGAAATCTTCCATTATTTGCATAATCCCTGACCTCTTACCAAGGCTTTTCATAATTTCATAGTTCTCTTTTAAGAAGAATGAGTCACTAACACATTTTTTATTAAAAAACATTTCACTAAAGCTCACAATGTGAACAATATATAACATATACAGTAGATGCAACATATTATAAGTTAGCTTCCAATGGTAGAAGGAAAATACAACAAATAAGATATACTGCAGACTAGAAATTAGAAAATGAAAGAGTTGAAGGAAAAAAGTGTACATCACGTGCATGATGGTAATGGGCATGTACCGACTGTACCGGCTAGGGTGCCTCATGTACATGATGGTAATGGGCATGTATCGACTGTACCAGCTAGGGCACCTCACGTGCATGATGGTAATGGGCATGTATCGACTGTACCAGCTAGGGCACCTCACGTGCATGATGGTAATGGGCATGTATCGACTGTACCAGCTAGGGTGCCTCACGTGCATGATGGTAATGGGCATGTATCGACTGTACCAGCTAGGGTGCCTCACGTGCATGATGGTAATGGGCATGTATCGACTGTACCAGCTACGGTGCCTCACGTGCATGATGGTAATGGGCATGTATCGACTGTACCAGCTAGGGTGCCTCAAGTGCATGATGGTAATGGGCATGTATCGACTGTACCAGCTAGGGCACCTCACGTGCATGATGGTAATGGGCATGTATCGACTGTACCAGCTAGGGCACCTCACGTGCATGATGGTAATGGGCATGTATCGACTGTACCAGCTAGGGCACCTCACGTGCATGATGGTAATGGGCATGTATCGACTGTACCAGCTAGGGTGCCTCACGTGCATGATGGTAATGGGCATGTATCGACTGTACCAGCTAGGGTGCCTCACGTGCATGATGGTAATGGGCATGTATCGACTGTACCAGCTAGGGTGCCTCACGTGCATGATGGTAATGGGCATGTATCGACTGTACCAGCTAGGGTGCCTCAAGTGCATGATGGTAATGGGCATGTATCGACTGTACCAGCTAGGGCACCTCACGTGCATGATGGTAATGGGCATGTATCGACTGTACCAGCTAGGGCACCTCACGTGCATGATGGTAATGGGCATGTACCGACTGTACCAGCTAGGGTGCCTCACGTGCATGATGGTAATGGGCATGTATCGACTGTACCAGCTAGGGTGCCTCACGTGCATGATGGTAATGGGCATGTATCGACTGTACCAGCTAGGGTGCCTCACGTGCATGATGGTAATGGGCATGTATCGACTGTACCAGCTACGGTGCCTCACGTGCATGATGGTAATGGGCATGTATCGACTGTACCAGCTAGGGCACCTCACGTGCATGATGGTAATGGGCATGTATCGACTGTACCAGCTAGGGTGCCTCACGTGCATGATGGTAATGGGCATGTATCGACTGTATCGGCTAGGGCACCTCACGTGCATGATGGTAATGGGCATGTACCAACTGTACACCAGCTAGGGTGCCTCACGTGCATGATGGTAATGGGCATGTACCCACTGTACACCAGCTAGGGTGCCTCACATGCATGATGGTAAGGGGCATGTACCAACTGTACACCAGCTAGGGTGCCTCACGTGCATGATGGTAATGGGCATGTACCAACTGTACACCAGCTAGGGTGCCTCACGTGCATGATGGTAATGGGCATGTATCGACTGTACCAGCTACGGTGCCTCACGTGCATGATGGTAATGGGCATGTATCGACTGTACCAGCTAGGGCACCTCACGTGCATGATGGTAATGGGCATGTATCGACTGTACCAGCTAGGGTGCCTCACGTGCATGATGGTAATGGGCATGTATCGACTGTATCGGCTAGGGCACCTCACGTGCATGATGGTAATGGGCATGTACCAACTGTACACCAGCTAGGGTGCCTCACGTGCATGATGGTAATGGGCATGTACCCACTGTACACCAGCTAGGGTGCCTCACATGCATGATGGTAAGGGGCATGTACCAACTGTACACCAGCTAGGGTGCCTCACGTGCATGATGGTAATGGGCATGTACCAACTGTACACCAGCTAGGGTGCCTCACGTGCATGATGGTAATGGGCATGTACCAACTGTACACCAGCTAGGGTGCCTCACGTGCATGATGGTAATGGGCATGTACCCACTGTACACCAGCTAGGGTGCCTCACATGCATGATGGTAAGGGGCATGTACCAACTGTACACCAGCTAGGGTGCCTCACGTGCATGATGGTAATGGGCATGTACCAACTGTACACCAGCTAGGGTGCCTCACGTGTATGATGGTAATGGGCATGTACCAACTGTACACCAGCTAGGGTGCCTCACGTGCATGATGGTAATGGGCATGTACCAACTGTACACCAGCTAGGGTGCCTCACGTGCATGATGGTAATGGGCATGTACCGACTGTACACTGACTAGGGCGCCTCACGTGCATGATGGTAATGGGCATGTACCGACTGTACACCAGCTAGGGCGCCTCACGTGCATGATGGTAATGGGCATGTACCAACTGTACACCAGCTAGGGTGCCTCACGTCCATGATGGTAATGGGCATGTACCAACTGTACACCAGCTAGGGTGCCTCACGTGCATGATGGTAATGGGCATGTACCAACTGTACACCAGCTAGGGTGCCTCACGTGCATGATGGTAATGGGCATGTACCAACTGTACAAGACTAAGGTGCCTCATCAACACAAACCACTTACTGTGTCAGCTCCAATGAGGTTGAGCCCCAAACCACCAACTTGCGTGGTAAGGAGCAGCAGGTCGATAGACGGATCACTGTTGAACCTCTGGACAAGTGCATGTCTTGATCCAGCTGGCACTGAGCCATCCAGTCTTAAATACGTCACAGTTGGAAGATGTGCCCTAAAAGTAGACATTAATGTTCTGGATAATGATAATCTGCCATTTATTATCTTAAATGGTAACAAGCAGAGGCCTATCTATACTAATATTTTGATCGATACTACAAATACCGTCTTATTATCCAATATTACAGTATTAAAACAGACAGTATTAAAAGATCAATAATCTAATACTGACAATTAATATTTTTCAGATTTTACAACATATTAATGCATAATGAATCTCATGCTATCAGGATTTGTAAACAATCACTTAATAAATTAATATAATTAAATTATAGCATAACTACTCCTGCAGAGTAACTGAAACTGTGTTAAATGAACTTCCAAGCAGTGATGACCACTTAGCTGTTCTCACATAGCTACACAGTCTTGGAGAGGTTTGGGGCAATATGCCTTGGATTCCATCCATGTTGAGTTTTATACTTTAAATGAGAATGCATCAGTAGAATTGGATACTTCCTTGCAGTACACATTTAAGATATCTAACTTAGAAATGGGGGAGAGGGGGCAAGAGGCAAGACTATAGAAGTTATCTTGAGGTTATCTCGAGATGATTTCAGGGCTTAGCGTCCCTGGAGCCCACTGGGCTGGGACAGTGCGGGTGTGGGCATGGTGCATCAAAGTGTTAAGATAAGTTGGGCTTGGAGGGCTCCAACCCCACTAATTTAACAACAGTCAGACGTCATCATCTGTTCCACCCACCTGATACATTTTGCAAGGTACTGACATAGGGATGCATTTTGCAAGGTACATCTTACATTTACAAAGACAATTTTGCCATGTTTAACATCGGATTATATTCTCTTTGGGTGAGGTGATAAAGAATAAGTGGATAAATGGCAAACATAAGGGAATTATTTGGGTATTAACTGTATCAATGTATAAATGTAATAGGGGTATTAAATGTATTAATAGGGCAGCTTATGTTCCTTAGGTAGGGTCATCATCTTCAAGAGGAAACTAGATTTATTCCTCCAAGGTGTGCCGGACCAACCGGGCTGTGGTGGGTATGTGGGCCTGCGGGCCGCTCCAAGCAACAGCCTAGTGGACCAAACTCTCACAAGTCAAGCCTGGCCTCGGGCCGGGCTTGGGGAGTAGAAGAACTCCCAGAACCCCATCAACCAGGCATCAACCAGGTATTGGAGTCTGTCAACGTGTGGCAGGTCACCGAGGAGTCTGTCAACATGTGCCAAGTCACCGTAGAGGAGTCTGTCAGTGTGTGGCAGGTCACCGAGGAGTCTGTCAATGTGTGGCAGACCTTGAGGTAGGGCTAAATGTGAATGTCCATCAGATCATCATGCGAGCAAGACATGAGAACCTCACAATGGCCTGAATCATCACAGAGCAATGACAGTTAAATTCTGACACAATGATAAAATAAAAAAAAAGATGAAGGAAACTTACTTGAGCAAATCATTTTCAATAATGTCCAACATAGCCTTCAGCTGGCAGAAGATGAGAGCTCGGTGCTGGGAAACCACTGCCTCTGCTGCCAGCCCCCCGCCCACACCAATACCACAATCCACCAGCAGCTGTCTGATAATTAAGGAAATCAGGGAAGATTAATATTTTAGTTATGCAAAAAAAATATTCAAAATATTTCCTTTCATAATGTCTACACGCGTTGTAATGTTTTTTTAGGACTCAAGAGCAGGCAGGTGCATGCATTTCTCACCTACCACAACTCATACACTCAACAACCAAAGACACTTAATCTGTGAACTTCTCGTAATTAATTTTCACTTGCGATTTACCTTCATCTTATTCTCTTCTCTTCGCCTTTTCTTATTACCTTTCTAAACACTATCAATACCATTTGATAACCTTTTTACTGTATTTGCATTTTCTTCAAGCTTAAACTCTCACCCTTCATAACACACTGACTACAGTATTTCCAGTGTACCTTCTCCTTTTTATCAGACATCAGTAATACTGAATACTGTTTACCGCTGATTAGAAAATTGTGTGGAGCTTTTACTAATCAATAAATCACAAGGTATGCTAGTTTAAGGAAACACCTCTGATAACAAAAGATATAAACAGCGTGCTCAAAACACCCATGTGGATAAACATAACAATTACTTAACTACAAACAACAAGAGTAAATACAAACTTAAGTGCTGGCAGTTTAGCTGAGTGGGATATATCAGACAGTGTTGAATTACAATTCTTGAGCTTGGCAGAGATACGACTATACTCGGGATGCCGGGGCTTGAGTACCAGTTTTGGGTGGTTGCACACTTTCCGAAGGTACTGCAATGCCTGCCAAGGAGATTTAGCGAGTTTAGTGGTGCAGGATGATAACACCAACATTATTATACAAAAATAACATATATTTTCCAAAATTCCGAACATGTTTTCACACCTCAGAGAATTTACACATAATGAGCTAACTGGTCCTTGGAGGCTCAGCAACAGTTATGTGCTGTAACATGCACTAACATCTTTCGTATGTTGCTAAATATATATAACGTTAGTTAGGTTAGTTCATTTATTACGTACCCCATACCCATCCTGTGGGCAGGATGGGTATGGGGTGGCAAGTAGTGGCAAGGGTTACAAAGGCACATAATGGGCTCAGGGACTGAATAGGGGGGGTGGGGGGAGCTACGCCGACAGTGGCTCGCTGACTGTTGTGACGTCATGCTCGTTTTTCATTTGGGGAGTTCTGTCAAATAGTTCAGTTTTCAGTAACAATTTTTTTAACTAGATAAGGTTTGTTTTGGGGCGCCTACCTTTTTGGGTGCCTGACCTGGTGGATGGGAGACATAGAATGCTTCCAACCACACGGGGATTTCTCTAGGCCATTGCTCCTTGTGCCTCTCTGAGGGGGGCCAGGTTCTGGCTCGTGGTCCCGGGTAGGCCTAGAATTCCATTCACTTGACTAATGCCACGGTCTAATACATTCATGCCTGATAGTTCTGGGGGAGCTGAAGGGGCTCCCCCAGAAAAAAATTCTAAGACTGTTTAAAATGTGTTCCTGATCACTGGAAAAAACAATAAAAAAAATCGTAGGTGACATATTTTGGCTGCAATAGGGCGAGGAAGTCGGGCAAAACTGAGACATTGACAGTAGGCATCCAACGGTGGACTGCTCCACACTTGCTGTCAGGCGGGAGTTACCACAAAGATATCATTACCTAATTATTTAAATGTCCCCGATTGGTTTTTTCTCTTTTTTTTTCAGTAATATTATTCAATAGTGTGTAGTGTGATATATTTATACTGTACTAGGGAGCTGGTCAGCCGAGCGGACAGCACACTGGACTTGTGATCCTGTGGTCCCGGGTTCGATCCCGGGCGCCAGCGAGAAACAATAGGCAGAGTTTCTTTCACCCTATGCAGCTGTCACGGGCTGCTTCCTGGGGGTGGAGGCCTGGTCAAGGATTTTTTTATTGTTTTTTCCCGTGATCAGGAACACATTTTAAACAGTCTTAGAATTTTTTTCTGGGGAAGCCCCTTCAGCTCCCCAAGAACTATCAGGGCATGAATGTATTAGACCGTGGCATTAGTCAAGTGAATGGAAGCGGGGACACTAAAAACAAAGCCCCGAAATCAACTCAAGATATACAGTACTATAAAATGTGTGAACCATCAATATTCTCAAAAATATGGTGTGCATATTAGAGATTCAATTATTATGTTCATTAAACACTAAACAAATAGTTTTGCTGTTATTACACTATATACACATGTTATATATAAGTACTGTATCTGCATGTTTTGTTCACCATAACAAACCACTTAGTAGATATGGTGAGTCCAAACAACAAGAGTGGCCGCCACATACCAGCTAGCAGACGCCACCTCCCTCCCTCCTTCAACACCTCACTCGCCAACATTTTTCCTCTAACCATACTTTTGTTGCTGTTATTACACTATATACACACATTATATATAAGTATCTACACATTTTGTTCACCATAACTGTACAACTAAGCTGTATGGTGTCCAAACAGCATAGTGGTCACCCTACACAGCATGCCAAGTCACACACACCAGCCAACAGATGATGCCACCTCCCTCACCAAAATGACTCTTCCCAACACACTCTTTTTTGCTGTTATTACAGTATATACACAAGTTATATATAAGTATCTACATTTATTTTCACCATAGCGACCCATTAACCTGGTATAGTGAGTCCAGACAATAACAGGTCACCACACGCAGTCATATGTGAACCCCGTGTAGCAGCGGGACTTTTAATCTTGCGCGGTACTTTAAAATGTATATATACAATGTATATATTCAGGACAGTCTCCGTGGTGTAGTGGTAAGACACTCGCCTGGCGTTCCGCGAGCGCTTTGTCATGGGTTCTTATCCTGGCCGGGGAGGATTTACTGGGCGAAAATCCTTAACTGTAGCCTCTGTTTAACGCAACAGTAAAATGTGTACTTGGTTGTAACAATGATTCTTCGCGGCGGGGATCGTATCCCAGGGACTTGCCTGAAACGCTACGCGTACTAGTGGCTGTACAAGAATGTAAGAACTCTTGTATATATCTAAAAAAAAAAGTGTGCCAGTCATTTACCAAAATCAAATACTGTATACGTATATATGTAGTACACCCTTTGAGGGCAAAGCAACTGACATATGTGGAGAGCTAGTGTCACAATTGATATGTTTTTTCCTGCACACCGCCCCCCATCCAATGGGAAGCGTTGGATAGTTTACAATCACTCAGTTCCTACCTACAGTTAGCAAATTGGGAATATTTGGATAAGATTATATATAAGATATTATTAAATTGCAGCTTACCTGGAATATATGACCGTGTTTCTTTGGTGCTTGCTCATCCTGTCCATTTTCTGAACTTCGTAGTGATTCACTAATGTTTTGACTGGCTTGGGTACGGGCAAAGTCTTCGTACAGCTCTTCTTGCAGTGGACTTAATTCACAATAATAGTCCTGAAATAAGCAGTGAAATTATGCTAACCACAAACATATTTAACAAAATGAGTAGTAATGCTGTGATGGATGCTACTGTATGAGTGCTTTCCAGTATGTCACCAAGGTAATAGGATTACCAGAAGGCGGCTCCAATCAAGTGTGAATATACAGCACTTGAAACGTATACGAGGGCAGGACAGGAGCTCAAGTATGTTTGCCAAGATGTTATCAAATACCCAGACATTTACATATGCATAATTACCTATGGCTTCTGCATGTCTGGGCCAAACTTTGAAGACAAAGACATATATTGTGTGGGGTGAATGCTAAGTGACCGATAATAAAAATGTATTCATGAAGCAAGTACAATTAACAAATATAGTTATTCGTCACATCCAGCACTAATAGGCAGTAATTATTTTATATGACATATATTATCACTGCTTCAGTTTATTTAAAACCTGTTTCAACATGTTTAAAAAACCAGCGTTGAATGTAACGAAACGCCATTTTCTGGGTGAGACCCGTCGGCTCCCCGGAGCTACACCAGGCTGATATGCTAATGTCAGACTTTGGCATCAGTCATGTGTATGGAGTTCTTAGGGCCTACCAGGGACCACGGCCAGAACCTGGCCCCCTCAGAGAGGCAAGGGGAGCAACGGCCTATAGAAACCCCGGTGTGGTTGGAAGCATTCTATGTCTGCCATCGACCGGAACAGGCACCCAGAAAGGTAAGCGCCTCAAAACAAACCCCTATTCTTGTTAAAATTGCTACCAAAAACCGAACTAGTGGATAGAACTCCCCAACCGAAAACAAGTAAACTAGTGTGACGTCACACACCGCCACGCCGCTGTCTGCGCAGCTCCCCCCTCCCCGGGAGGGGGAAGGGGGAGCCCCAGACCCACCGCGCCGGCTACCCACACCTCAGTTCTTGAGGCTGGATGTCAAAAACGCGAAAAACCGCTGACCGGAGGGAGGAAGGGATGCCGGGGAGCCTCCGGGACTCACCCAGAAAATGGCGTTTCATTACATTCAACGCTGGTTTTCTGGGGGGAGCCCCGTCGGCTCCCCGGAGCTAACTACCCACAGACAGAAAAAAGAGGGACTTACCCGGGAGGCGGTCGTCGCTCACTCCTCAACTCGAAGCCGAGACAACTGGCTGCAACCGCCAGCCCAAAGCAACACAGGCCCGATGAGGCCCAGGGACATTCACAAGGTAACGAGCAGCCAGGACCCTGTTCGACCGGCAAAATCCCCGCGCCCGAATATCAGACCAAGACATATTCCCAAAGACGGCAGCAAGAGCCGCGAACTTACGAACGTAATGGGCACGGGGATAGACCGCAGGCTGGCTGGACTTAATAACCCTGCGGACGACCTGAGAGACCCGAACCCGCGAACAGAGAAGAAGGGAAACCGGATCAACCCACAGCGCGTCCCCGGACACAGAAGCTGTGGCGCGCAAATAACGGCGAAGCGCCGCAACCGGACACAAAACATGATGCACCCCCGGCCTGACCAACCAAGCATCAACCACCCATGGACCCCTCGGGAACACAGCAGTCTCATTCTTTGCCAGAAAAGAAGGAGACGGCTGCAAACGAACAAAACAATCACCACGACCAAAAGAGCAGAAACCCCTGCGCCGGAGGAGAGCATGAAGCTCCCCTACCCGACCCCCAGAGGCCAAAGCCAACAAGAAAAGTGCCTTGGAAAAACAATCCTGGACCGAAGGGGCCACAACGAAATGAGGAGACGAAAGGAAAGCGAGCACTCTGTCCAAAGACCAGGACGGCTCAGGCGACGCATGAGCAGGCCGGAGGTGAAACAATGCACGAGACAGCTTGCGAAACGGCGCAGACGTAACATCGATACCGAAAGGAAGCTGAAGCGGCTCCGCCAGCGCCGCACGATACGAAGCGACAGTGTTAGGCATAAGATGACGGTCCTGAAACAACCACGAGAGGAAGGACAAGACCACCCGAACAGATGAGGAACTAACACGACGAAGACGCAAAAAGAAACGGAAGGACCGCCAGGAAACTTCATACTGCCGCCGAGAAGAAGCCCTCAGGTGGGACACCAACAAGGAGGCCACCTGATCACCATAGAGATGATGATAGACTCGAGTCAAAAAAACCATATGCGAAGACTCGAGGAGAAGATCGAACCAGCCACGTGACGTACCGGCCCGATCTGCTGAAAGAGGCGGAGCCGCGGGAAAACCCTCGGGTTCGGACACCGAGCAACCAGCGCCTGAAACCAAGGCTGGGCCGGCCACCAAGGGGCCAGAAGGACAACTCTCCCCTGGTAAGTCTCTAAGCGAGTCAGGACCTGGAGCAACAGCCGAACCGGGGGAAAGAGGTACAAGAACCCCCACCTCGACCAGTCTAGCTGAAAAACATCGACCCCGACGACCTCGCGATCGGGGAAGGGCGCCGTATAAACGGGAAGACGCCGTGACCACGCTGACGCGAAGAGGTCCACTTTGGGGCGCCCGAACGTCTGGCAAAGCCAACGGAAGGACTCGTCGTCGACCGTCCACTCCGTGGAGATTGGAACGAAGCGAGACAGGGCGTCGGCCAAGACGTTGGACACGCCCCGTACATGAACCGCCAGGAGAGCCAAGCCCCGAGAACTCAGCAGACGAGTCACCCGAAGCAACCAACCCCAAAGAGACAAGGACCGCATCGAACCCCCGTGGTTCAGGCAATGAACCACCGGAGAGCAGTCCGAATGGAGCCGAATCGTCGATCCGCGGGCCACCCGAATCCTCCCCAGAGCAAACCACACTGCTGCGAACTCCTGCACCGTGCTGTGAGCTCGATGGAAGGACGGATCCTAACGCCCCTGGCCGGCCTGGTGAGCACTGGTCACAAAACCCCAGCCGAGAGATGACGCGTCCGTGTACACATCGAGCGAGGGCTCGGGTAGGCGCCAAGGCACTGAACCCCGAAAAACCCGAAGAGGAAGCCGGTGACGCAGCAACCGACGCAAGGCCCCCGGGGGTCGAACTCTGCGATCGCGAGAGAGGCGGAAGGGGGAACCCCAAAGGAACCAGAACAGCCGTCGAAGCCAAACCCGACCCGGCGGGTAGACCACCATCGCGAGGTTCAGGCTCCCGCACAGCCTCTCGAGCAACTGCCGGGTGACCCGAGGGCCCTCCAGAAACAGACGAAGGCGGGACCGCAGCCGCAGGAGAGACTCCGGAGGGAGAGACAAGGAGGCGGTTCGAGAGTCCCAAACGAGACCCAGCCAAGTCCGAACCTGAGAGGGAACCAGATGGGACTTCCTCCAGTTCACCAAGAACCTGAACTCGGCGAGCTGGATAAGAACCAAATCCCTGGCTAGCAAGCAAGCTGACTGGCTGGGAGCCCAAATCAGCCAGTCGTCGAGGTAGGCCAACACCCGAACACCTAGGAGACGCAAACGAGCCACCACAACCCGTGTAAGGCGCGTGAACACGCGAGGTGCCAGGTTCAGGGCGCAGCCGAGGACAAGGTGCCGGACCCCGGGACGGACCCAAGCGTCCTCACATCCTCCACGAGCGAATCCGAAGACAGCTCCAGGAGGGAAAAGAACCGCAAGGCCGAAGCCAAAAGGCCCCGGGCGCGCAAGTCCTCCTCAACGAGCGCCGCCGAAAGGGAGGGAACCTGCACATAGAGCTGAATAACGCCCACATCACGGGGAAGGGCAGGGGCAAACAAGCACTCATTCAGGTACTCAAGTACGCCCCCCAGGAAAACCTGAAGCACCGTGGAAGCTTCCCGCCACTCCAGCGTGCGGGAACGACAGAAGGAATGCCAGGAATCCAGACCAAACAAGGGGCAGTCTGCTAGCCAGGACGACTCCGGAACCTCGTAACGGAGCCAGAAAGGGAACGAAGTCCCAAACCTGAACGGATCCATTTCCGAGGCATAATCCGGGTCACGCAGGAGGTAAGCTGCAAAGGCCGCTCGCACCACACCAGGTTGGATGCGATAAGCCGAAAACCTCCGGAAGGACGGAACCGACGTACCCGGGGGAACACGGAACCGAACCTGGGGAGGGGCCGACACCAAATCCAACTCGTACGCAGAGGGGGGAAAAGAAAACCCCACTCCTTGTAACAATAAGCCCCGCTCAGAGGGAAGAAAAACCCAGGCGGGGTCCAGCGAGGCCCAAGGCCCCCAAGTCAGCCCCTCCCCAGCCTCGAGGTCCTTCACCACAGGACCCGAGGCCGAGTCCTCTCCCCAAGCCCCGACCCCACAAGACAAGGACGGAGCAGCCGGAAAAGCTGGAGGAAGGGGGGCCCACTGGTCAGACCCTGAAGCTTCGGCTGGGAGACAAGACTCGAATGCCTCTGCCGCCCCCCCGGAAGGGGCACCCCCCGAAGCTGCCCGAGTCTCGAGATCAAGTAACCCCTGCTCCGACCCCGAAACCCTCAGACGCTTCGGGGCCGGAAGCAGGTGGGGGGGGACCAGAACGAACAGAAGGGGAAGGACGAGGAGGTGCGGACTGAACCAGGATCGAAGCTACCCCCACCCAAAATCCGGGTCTCGAAAAGCAAAGCGGGGCAGCCCCGGGGCATCCGGGGGAGCAACCAACCGAGCGCGTTACAACAGACGAAACCTAGACTGCAACGCACGTGCCGCCTGTACCCGAATAGAATCATCGGAGGATTAGGTAAATTGACTCACAAGCAAGCAGCAACACTCACAGGACTCAGGGTCGAAAGTATCACCGACCCAACAGGCAGCGTGGCAGAGGCAAAAACAATGAGGGTCACCCTGAGACAAGGGGACCGAGCAACCCTCAAACTCGCACACAGCGAGTGGGGACTCCGGGGTCACATCCATCGGACCCACGCGCCCCCTAGGGGATTCCCAGGGTCCTGAGCGTTTACTTTAAGAGGACTCGCGCTCAGGTAGTCCCAGGCAGGGTGCTGCAAACCGGCACCCAAAACTACCAAGCAAACTTCTAAAGCTGAACCCCAGGGACGTGTACACTCACGGGGACCTAGCAGGGGGCGCCACCG